TTTTGTGTGCAGCTGTAAAAATGCGTCCAAGATGCATGTTCTTGCTGGAAAACACATTTTCAATATGTGAAAATATAAATGGCGAGAACTGCACCACTGCAAATAGCAGCAAAAAGTTACAAGTAAGTGCACCTAAAAAATTGAAATGAGAATATGCCTTATATATTCTAGGGAATTGTTTATGTCCCTAAAACAGATCCAAAGTGAAAATTAGACTTGGGTTTCCTAGCCCAGGATTCAACTCCAAAAAAATGGCCCCATGATCCCACCTTCTTTAAAGCGTGTATATTATTATTATTATTATACAGAATTTATATAGTGCCAACAGTTTGTGCAGCGCTTTACAATATAGGGAAGACATTACAATCACAATACAATTCAAGACAAGATGGTAAGGAGGGCCCTGCCCCTGAGGGTTTACAATCTAAAAGGGAGGGGCAAGTTTATACATGAGGAGGTAGCTGTGTAGGGATGAATTGTTTGAGAATGTGATAGTTCAGTGGTTAGGATGAGGTGGGATAGGCTTTCCTGAAGAGAGGAGTCTTAAGGGATCGCCTAAAGGCAGTCATAGTGGGAGATGTGTATGTATGTATGTATGTATGTATGTATGTATGTATGTATGTATGTATGTATGTGATAACATGGGACTTCAATATCCAGGATCCAGCTCCTCAAAGCCAAGTATATATGAAGTTAAGTACATATGAAGTATGCAAGTTCAAAGGAAGGAAGTACAGTATGTGAGGAGCTGGATCTCAGTTATTGAAGTTCCATATTATCATGTCCAGTTCATAGAGCCCAAAGGCTTTGCTTAGGCTGACCTCATCTACTAGGGAACCTAAGAACAGACGCCCCTGGAAAATATCCACAATTTGGAGAATAAAAAGTACCACACTAATGGTTGTAAAGTTCCACATGATTTTGAATTACTTTATATAAAGGCAACATGAGATCAAACAGTCAGTCAATGTGTTTAGGGGCTCAGGCATTCACCCATCATCATCTTTAACTCAGAGAAAGTAAAGATCTATACCAATAGCTACTGAGCTACTATCCTGGACAAAAGCCAGCAATATCTCCTTAACCCCTTAATACAGTTGCCTGTCCTGGAGTAGCCAGGGCTAAAGCTAGGGGGGGGGGGGGGGTGGGGC